GGTAAAACTGGACTAGGGCAGATTATAGTTAAGGATGGGTCAGGGAGAAACAAGCGGAATTACAGCTGCCCAGACTGACCCACCTCCCAGTTATGAGTCCTGTCTGCTCAGGGAATAAACTTTAGACAGTATGGTTACCTTTCAAGGGAGACCAGGCAAAAAAGCAGTAAAGAACTATAAGGTTAAACAGGAATGCCGTCTGAGATGTGGCTTTGAGGCCTTGAGTTAGGTGAGAGGATGAATAAATAATGAATTGTTTGGACATGGCCTCCGGATATGCCCAACTGAACACATCCAACAAGCCTTTAGGTTTGGAGAATGAGCTTGCCTAGCGATACAAGTTTACACATTTACTGATTTGCAAATAGTAGCTGAAGAGGTATTGATTGCTCCTGGGACCGTGAACGGAATCCAGAAACCTAAGTGAAAAGCAGCAAAGGGTAATAGAGGAAAACCAAAAAGCCAAAGGAGTCTGGTATCTTAGAATCAGTGTGGACAAGAAATTGTATTTTAAAGTTGCCCTGGAATAAACTAGTCACTCTTTTGAGAGATTTGTTAGAGATGCCAAGAGCTACTAGGACTAGTTGTAGTAGCCCAAGGAGGCAAAAACCTACTTCTACTGTGAACTTTGAACAAATCACAACCTCAGAATCCTCATCTTTGCCTTCACTGAGTTGAGAAAATACAGTCAGTGATAAAGTAGAGGTTTTATAAAATGTAAAATATAAAATATATAAAGACATTTATTATTTTAATGGCATTTTAAGTGAGTATGAAGATTCCACCTGTAAAAATCTGAAGACAGAAACCTCACTCATCTATACTTTTCTATCAGGTACAGTACTGTGTACTTAATAGGTATTTAAAAAATGTTAGCAGACTATGTGGCAGTAACCTGACTCTGTATGCACAGGAAGCATAGCAAAAGGCATATGCAACTTCCGAAAAGGATTTAGAACTGAAATAGTCAAACTTCATCCCTCCCACAAATGTCATCAATGACAAAATAATGGGGGTGGAGGGTGGAGGCCACTAGTTTCCACTTCCCTCCTTAAGTGTAAATTTCTTTTCTGGATGCTTTGGAAAGAAGGAGAACGCATTTACAGAAAAAGCAGTGAATTGGAGAACAGGAGAAAAGCCAACAGCAACTTTCTAAAACTGTGTCCAACAACTATTGGCCATAAAAGAAAAGCTCCTTAAATTCTCAAGTTGAAACCTGCAAAATGTAAATCAGGCCTTTGTGAGACAAACTAAAATAGTGTCCCCTCAGGGTGCACAAATACCACAGTGAAGTCACCAAAGTGGCTATTCCCTCACATAGAACCTTCATTTCAAAGATTTTCTTGGGAGGGAAATGCTGTTTGTTTCATGTTATACACTCTTAAGATGACCAAACAGAACAAAATGCAATAGTCCTAGATACCAATTATTCTGAGTCACAACAGGATATTTCAATCTAGCTTTAAAATCATTGTTTCATCACTGTTTGTTCTTAAAGCTAATGAGAAGCTTGGAAACTAATCTGGTTTTGGTGTAAATTTTAGGAGTTCCATAAACTTCGATTAAGTTGGTTTTATAAGCAATCTCTTCCTTAACTGTTTTTAGAAAGGAAAGCCACCTTCCTCCAACTTCAAGACCAAGTCTGCCAAGTTTCCATCCACAATGATTATCTTGCTAAAGGACTACTTAATAAAAGGCAGATTCTCAGCCACAATCTTATCAACTATCGACTGATAGAGATAAAATTTATGGCTTACTATTATAAAACATAAAAGTCAAACTTTTAAACAGCAATTGAAATGTTAGAAGATCCAAATGTTGAAGGCAACGTAAGAAAGACTTCTTTTTGGAAAAGGATGCTTGGCTGAGCTTTCTCTTCAGTACATGCAGAAAATGCTATTCTGATTCCCACAGCAACTTTAACTCGTTATATCTGAGGACATGCTGCACTCTCAACTACTGATGCTTTCAGAGTAAATGATTTTCCTGGCTTTTGTACAAGTGATGACAATGGTACAATGACCTATGTTGTACTTGTCAACTGCTAAAGTATGCCTCACCCACCAAAAAAGCAGTAAAAATTATGTAATTTTATACAAACACACACAAAACCTTGCTGGAAGGTTATATTAGAAATTGTGAAAGGTGGTCTCTAGGATACCTCAGCAACTGCAGATACTTACTGTTCCAATTCATCATGTCTTGTTTTAGGTGTACAATAAATAAGAATTCTGATCAGTACCAGAATGTTTCTTATGATTACTGAAGTGTGATCTGACTTACTTATTTTAATGTGTACCATGTTTAATACTCAACATAAAAAGGAAGGTAAGAAAGTGACGGCTACACATAGTTTTTTCACTCTGCCCACTCCGTGTCTCACATGCTCGGGAAGGGCACAGCACAATATATGCATCACTTGTTTAAGGGTATGTGAAATCTGAACTGGGTGGGAGATTTAATAGATGCACAAACAGTCATGGTCCTTCAGTTCATGGGAAACAACTAGTTAGCCAGAGCCCATGGAGTAACTGGAGTTAGGCAGGGAATACACTGAACATCAAAACACAGAATCATACATAAAGCTCTGTTTGCTACAAATATACCTGTGACATGCATGTAGACATATTCTTGTCACCAGAAAGGTGGTGTAGAGGAGACAAGAGAAAGAAAAAGGGGAGAGGGGGAGATTGAAACATCAACCCAACAACAAACAAATCTCTCCCTTCCCCCACCTTCCCCACCACACACAATTTCCTCCAGAACATCATTTCTTATGCAAGAACAAGTATAATTAGGTTTTTGTCAAGTTTTGGGAAACTGTCTATCTAAAAGTTTAAAATAAAAGCATTTCTGGCTCATCACAGTACTCAGAGGCAAACTATTTTAAATAACGTTTCTAAGTTTTAAATCCACAGCTTTGCAAATTTCATATTACCAAAAGCTGAATTTTCAGCAAAAACAAGTACAAACATGAAATTTTTAAAGTAAACTGTCATGTTCAAGTCCCAATTAAAATCTCTCTTGACATTTTAATCACCACAACCCAAAGTTAATATATCTTTCCCCTAGTAGCAGCAGCCTGACTGATATAGCCCTCACCACAGTAACTTTGTAATGGAGAAGTCATCACTACCATCTCCCTACCTCTGCTATCACGTGAATTAACCTTTTGCTCCATAGTGCCCACAGGAGAAAACTCAGAAGGCTAAAACTGACAGCCCCATCATACCTAAATGAGATTTTTGTTCAGAAAATTTTAATACTTTCAGGCACTTTGAGACAGGGCAAAGCCTTTGCTTTAAAAACTTTACTACCTGAAAACACATAAACACAACTTCACGGGTATTCATAATTCAACACAGAAATTTTAACAAGTCAAAATGTAAACAAAAATAGTTGGACATAATTCAGAAGTATTTTGGCTAAGTTTAAAAATAGAACATTTAGGAGAAAATAGCTAAACGGCATCCACACCAAGGTCCCAGGAGACCCTATGTCTCTTACAGTGTCTTTGGAAAAGCACCTGTTCCAAGATACCATTAACTCTATACGCTTCCAAAGTCTCTGAAAAACTGCACTTCAGTACAGCTGACCGCCTCCATCTCTAAGAAACAGGTGCCTCAGAGTTTCACTTTAGAAACTTATTTTCAAAAAGATTCCTTTTCCTCATGACCTGTCTACAAATATTTACTACAACAGTGCTAAATACTGCTCTTCTAAAACTTATTCCACATATTGCCACTAACTCCATCTTTCAGAGCACTTTTGGTAAGTCATTCTTTGTCTGGAATCTGGACACTGTGTGTGAAGTTCAGTGTACCAGACAGCAGTGGAAAGAAATCATAAAACCATGACCAAAAGAACCATCTTACTACAAAATGTTCTTTTCAAACATCCCCAAATAATGTTATTAAGCCTTATAAAATTATCCTGCTTTGATAGAAGAATGGCTCAAGACAAGCTGTTCTCTCCAGAAGTTCATGACTACCAGGTTATGGATGAATCAAGCCTTTCAATACAGTGGGGACTGAAGAGCTACAAAATCAAATTGTCAGTTTCCATACATGTTACTCTGTTAAACACAATAATGAATCACTCTACTTGTTCATGTACTTCAGTGATGAAGAAAACACTTATCTAGATCAAACACGACTTGAATACTTGAGGATAAACATGTGCATCCTCATCCACCACCCAGCAATGAAATTTTCTATACATTCCTTTCCTGATTTCCAAAAGGTCATCTCTAAACAAGTTTCTACACTTGCCCTAAATCAAAACAAAAGGGAAGACAGTAAGGAGACCTTTTTACCCAGGGACAAAACTGTGCCCAGCAAGTAACAGTAAGTGCAGACACTTCCTCTTGTTTTCTCTGTAGTAGGATTAGCAGTGAAATAGCTCTGTGGCCCTTAATTAAGGTTAAACAGCTCTGAAGAACAATCACTTTAAAAGTGGATGTCTCTTTTAATTACACCTAGGCAATACCGGTAGTAAAGGCATTTGCTTCCCGCAAATTTCTTAACTTAGACCCCTTCCTCTCTAGATTGTTCAACAGTGCAAACAGCAAACACCCTCAAGCCTGGAAAGAGGGCTATTTAAACGAGGTAGGAGTGCGCAAGGTGAACCTTCTTGCCTCTGACCAAGAAAGCGTTGTGACGGCCCTGCAAGGAAAGAGAAAACCGAGGACGGGGGTTTCTGATGAGAACTCCAGAAAGAGGGATACAAACGCCGAAATGGTGAATGATCAAGGCAGAGGGAATCCGGCGAGGTTAGAAAGGAAGGGAAAGCAGAGTGATGCTGGCACCAAGTAACCTGGCCTCCTGGTTCAGAGCGAGATCTAGTCTAGAAACTGGAGAAGGGAATGCCTGTGCGGCCGGTGCTGGGGGCAGGGAGCCAACACGGGCGGTTTGGGCCCCGAAAGCTGGGCCAGGAGGAAGATGGCCCGGGAGCTGGGCTGTTGGCGAGCAGAAGAGGGGGACAGGGCTGTCACCGCTTACCCAGGTGCAGCGTGAGGTTGATGGAGTTGGGGTACTGCACCCCGGCCAGCATGGTCTGGCTTTGCCACCAGGTGGTGTCGGCCTGGTTGTTGTAGTCGGTCAAGAAGGCTGCCCCGTGCTGCAGGTGGGGCTGCCCGGCGTCGCACAGGTGACAGGACTTGGTGACCCCGGTCACCCCGGTCTGCACGCAGTACTCCTCGGGCGGAGTCCCGCACGTGTTGGTGGCCACCACGGTCACGTTGAAGGCGGCGTTGACGAACTCGGGCATGCAGCGCTGCGGCCGCCCGCCCTCGTCCGTGCACTCGTCCATGGCTGCCCGGGCGCAGCCCGCCGCGGCGGCCGCCAGCACGGCCAGCACCGGCCAGAGCCGCCCGCGGGGCCGCAGCGCGCCCGCCGCCCGCTCGCCGCCCCTCATCGCTCCGCCCGTGCGCTGGGCCACGACGAAGGCAAAGGCGCGGGCACCTTCCTCTCGCCCCGCGGCGTCCCCGGGAGGCCGCTCCGCCCGCCGCGCCTCGGGGCCACGGCCCGGACTCTCGGGGAGGGCGGCGGCGGCTCGCGCGGGAAAGACTGGCCGCCGGGCCGGCGGCGGACACGGCGGGCTCTCGGGGCACTGGCCGCTGCGCCGCCTCCGCGCCTCCCTCCACCCGCCGGGACTGCAGCGGCGCTCGGCGTCGACCCCCGACTTCCGAGCGCGTGCCCGAGCGCGCGCCCCCGGGAGGAAGGCGCAGGGGGTGGGGTCGGCGGGGTGGGGTGGGGTCTGGCCGTGGAGAAAGCCCAGCCCCGGCCTCCTCGCCGCCGCGCCCGCGGCCCCCGGCGCTGCTCCCCCGCCCTCCGCGCGCCGCGGATGCGCCTGAGAACGGGCGGCGGGGGGGCGGCTCGCGCTCGGGCCCGCGGCGCGCGGTCGGCGAGGGAGGGCCTTGAGGGGCGCCAGGGGTGGGCGGGGAGCGGGAGGGGGGAGGCAGGCGAGCCGGGGAGGGGGGAGGGGGCAGGGGGAGGCGCGGCGGGGCGGTGCATGCCGGGAGGGGAAGGGAGGCTGCGGGAGCCGGCGCCCTGGGAGGGGTGGGCCCAGGGGTGCCTCAGCTCCGCGTCCCCGGGAGACGCCGGATTGCAGGGCGGGGTGGCGGAGGGGACTCGAGGGGCGGCGCGGGGCCGGCGAGGTGGCTCCCAGGTGGGCTTTAGGCCCCGCGGCGACCTGGGCCGCAGCAGCGCGCGGTCCGCCCCGCCAGGTGTCAGACCGCGCGTCCGGCCGGGCGGCGCCGGGGGCTGGAACCCCAGGGACCCGCCGGCGGGGTTCCTGCGGGCCCCGGGCCCCAGCGGGTCGCCCCGGGAATGTCCCCCGCCGCGAGGGCCGCGCGCCAGTCCCTTCCCGGGAGAGGTCCCTGGGTGTCGGGGACGGGGAAGGTTGCTGACACCGGTCCTTGGGAATACTAGGCCTGCTCGCCCTGCATAATGACTTTTCTGAAGTGATTTCCTGACTCTAAATTAAAGTGTAACCAGTGGTTTAACGGGCAAGGAAGGAAGTGAAAAGGCTGGGAATGGAATGGCATTTTTCCCCTGGGTATGGAGACCCACTGCGAAATTCTTCCATTGTGTTGTTTATGTTCCCCGGCTTGCCTTTAAAAGACTCGAAATTATCTGGATCTGACATCCTCCTTTTCGGGCCTGCTGAGTCACGGAATATTCTCAGTGCCAGAATGACTCAGTTCACAGAACCTGAGCCAGAAGAGCGTGAGGTTTAGTCCCAAATCAGAACCTGAGCACTTATCCAGTGCTGCTATGACAAGCCAGGGCCATGTCAGAGTGGACCGCCCCACGGTGGTGGCTTTGAAATTTTTGGAATCCACAATGGAAAGTGGATGCTCATGAGACCAAAAAAAAAAAATTTATTTTAACTCTTCAAGGTCTTAGTGAAGGAGAACCATAAATATGCGACCATACCTGGCTTGGGGAGTCCCGTTATGAGAGCGGTGGCGAGGATCTGAAGTAATGAATTAAGTACGTGTTAGCTCTAGGATGACTTAAGGGTAATGTTCAGCTGGGGACAGGGTGGGAGGGCCCCAGGGGACTGGTGAAAATGCTGGGCTTGCTTAACAAGGATTTGGATTACCTGTATCATTGGTTTGTTTGACGAGATGGGTAGGGATTATGCAGGTCTCTAGTTCTTCATCCCTTGGCACCTCCTTTTTGGAAGATGTTGAAGACTGTCTGTAATCTTGTTTTAACCATTTCATATCTGGCGAAGTAAAATAAACATATTCGTTTATACCTAGAGGGGGTGATATTCTCTCTCAGTCTTTGATTATACTTGAGGACACATCTGACAAAGACAAAAGATGTTCAGGTATTTTCAATAAACATTTAAATAAGTGTACTAAGGACTTCTGCCTCACAACCTTTTGTTAGCAAACCAGATGCTGGATCTTACTTTGTTTTTCACCATGGAAAAACAATGAAAGGTAAGGAGATGGCAGAGGATGCCTTATCACTACTGGGTTTTGGTGTCTAATGTCCATAGTCAATTTCAAGCTATTACTTATGCAAATCTACCCCATAATTTCATTACCAAAACACCATCTGTAGAGCACATTGTGACTTTGAATTAATTTCTAAATTCTATTGCTCATGGAAATGTGTTAAGTGACATGGAAGTGTCTATTTTGAAGAAATACAGAATAATATGAAACCAGCTAGCATGCTTGATCATTAAAAACAAAACAAAACAAAAAAGAGTTGATCTATTGTTTGAATCCTGATTCAAACCAAGATTAAAGCAAATTTTTAACAGTTTGAATACTAAATAGATAATTGCTAATAAATTATGTGCTTTAGGTACCTGGAGATACCACAGTTGACTCGATCAAGTTGGCATTTTTTTTTTAAGATTTATTTATTTATGTGTACAAGAACTGGGGTACAGGCCAGAGGTGTGGGGGTGAGAGGATTCACCAGAGGCAGAGCAGGGAGCAGAACAGGTAGGCTGACTGAAATACACTGCTTAGGGGAGAAGTGGGTGAGTCAGAAGAGGTTTGCTGCACCATGTGGGTAGCTCCCTGGTGGGCCAGGATTGAACTGGTACTGCAGAGGCTGCGGATAGCTTCGTAGTGCTGTGCTTAAACCTTTGTGCTACCAGGGAGGCCCAAGTTGGCTTTTTTTTTTTTTAATACAGATAAAAGTGTATGAGATTTTTCTTTTACTTCAATTTATCCTTTTTTTTTTTTTTTTCAAAAATTATGGAGCCTCTTAATACACATTCTCAGTCCATGACAACTCCATTATCTAATAAACAGATACGGTGCTTAGAAACAAAATGTGACAAGTGTGGGGAAAAATGGATCCAGATCCCTCAAAAAATGATCTTTGTGCTCAAACACCAACAGGATGAGAGTATATAGCTGTTTATTGACAAAATAGTCCCCAGTTTTTAAAAACCCCACTGACAACTAGAAAGGAGGGCTTTCCTCTTTTCAGGAACTATATAAGCAATTATAAAAGAGGATACTGATTCCCCTGGCTTGGGTCACCTACAAATCCCTGGGCATAGCCAGCTCAGGCCAAGTGAAGAGAGTAACTGAGTTAAGTAGACCACAGATAACCAGGGAGTACGGGGAAAGCTGCTCACCAAGGAAAGTTTACTAATGCTAGAAGGGAGCAGGTTGCAAGACAAAACACAAACACACATACACACAAAACCTGTAACACACATCTACTACATCAAGATTGAGACTGTGGTATAATTAAAATAATTTAAAAATTGTGTTGACATTTTAAGATTGCAACATTGCGCTTTTTATTCTTTTATAATTACCAATGTTTTTCTATTCCTTAGTTTTTCTGACCTCATTTCCCTGTATTCCTCCCAAGCCTGAGCATGAGAGATTTACCTACTTTGTCCTTTATAAGATGCTGTTAGTCTATATTTACATTCTGTTTTACAATTTTAAAAAATGTAATAACTCTGAGGATAGGTACAGACAACAATGGATAAAGGGGAGTCAAAAGGTATCTATTTACAGATAGAAAATAACTAACTCCTGGGAATGTAATGTACAACATGGTAACTATAGTTAATAATATTAATTGCATATTTGAAAGTTGCTAAGAGGGTATATCTTAAAAGTTTTCATCACAAGAAAGTTGTAATTATGTGTGGTGACAGATGTTAACGAGACTAATTATGGGATTACTTTGCAATATATACATATATTGAATTAGTATGTTGGAAAACTGAAATAAATATGATGTTATATGTCAATTTTATCTCCCCCCCTCAAAAAAATGTGAGCTTAAATCTCACTTAATAGACAGATACAAATATATATAATAACTGAAGCTGGGTGGGCCCTTCCAGGGGCACATCGGGTTGAGCGCCACACTGTGAAACAGTCCACAGCCTCTGAAGCGCGGGTTTGATTCCCAGCCGGCCAGGGAGAAACCCACATGGCATGGCAGACCTCTCCTGCCTTGCCTGCTGCTCCCCTCAGCAGTGTCTTCCATACGTCTGCCTGTTCTGCTCTCTGCTCTGTCTGGTGAAGTCACTCACCCTCCCGCACCTCTGACCTGTACCCCAGTTCTTGTATAAATAAATAAATCTTTTAAAAATAAATAAATAAATAAACAAATAAACAAACAAACAAATAAACAAATAACTGAAGCTGGGGATATTAACTATGTGGAGTCAAGGAAACTAAAACTCATAGAGATTAGGTGACCTCTGTAGATTAGTAGACAGCAAAATTAAGACAAGAACCTGCACTTTCTGGCTGTTTGTCAAGTGCTGTTCCTTTTCTGTTGTCTGAAGGTCACTGTGGAGAATAAGGTAAAGGAAGAGCTATCTCATACTTCCAAGGTTTCAAGGTTATCAAATGGGAATTTTAAATTAGGTGAAAATTAATGTGATACTAGAAGAGAATTACAATATCCCTCTTCAAAGTTACACTAACCACACATGATTCTTTGTGTTGGGTTTATAGATCTTTCCTGGGTCTTGGTACAAATCCAGGCATAACAAGATAAGGTATCTTTTGTGGTCATGCTCAGGTAAAGACAGGATTCCTCTTGTATGAGGTAAAGCTCTTGCTTCCTACCCAGCCCCATGCACCCTATCTATGTAAGTCATCTTCATATCGTGATCCTAGTTTAAAAAAGAAGAAAAATAAGGCCACATCATAATAGATAAAACTTAAACTAGAACTTTATGTATTACAAAGATAATAAAAAGGAAACATCTCCAAAATGTGGAACAAGGAAAGCCAGCCCCTGACCCACCCAAAATTTCCCATCAAAGAAACAGAGGACTTAACATCTCAAAATTTTATTATTCTACTAACCAAATGTGGACAGCATCCCACTGTGGGGAATAGAGAGATAAATAATTTTTATATGCAGATGACATGATTTTATTATGGAAATTCAGAATATCCTTCATAAATTGTTGATGCTGAGCAGTTTAATACTCTTAGGAAGAAAGGGTAATTCTTTCAGAAGCAAAGTTGTTATTATTGGCAGTTTTGTCCCAACATTTAATTGCCTTATAGCTCATTACCTCATTCAATTATTGGATATTTAGAACAACAGGTTTTTATGGAGGGTGTGCCTGGAAAATGATGTTGTTCAAATTTAGAGATTTACAGCTCTTTGAGTGAGACTACAGCTCA